CTGTTTCCATTCTTCTGGGAAATCCTTGCAGTCTTGGAAATCATAACGGCATGCGACGCTCATCTGTTGCCTTGTACGATGGCCTTCTCGACAAATAGATCTCATCTCTTCTGGGCCCACCCACGGCCAGAGGGCGTGGGGGGGAGTGGCAGAGACAGCCGCGCACGGCCCGCCACATGCCAGCTTCTGTGCTATTTTACTCTTTTTACTGTACTGCACTGGCAACTGATCTCTCTTTTGCTTTCTTTGCCGCTCTTCTTTTGTCTCTTTGAGCCTTGGTGGGGCATTCCTGGTATTAGGTGACCGGCAGTTTGTGTCTGAAGCTTGGTGGGACCCGATTGTCATCTTCCCTGTGCCCCGTCTGTCCCAGGGCAAAGGTCTCCTCCATGGGGAAGATGCCCTGGCCTTCTTCAGCTTCATTGTCTACACCCAGGCCCGCAGAGCAAAGTGCTCTAGTTTCTAAAAGGGGAGGACGTATTCCAAGGGATTGCCGCAGCTCTCTACTTTTTTACACCGCCCGGACTGGGGCATGATTTCAAATTTGGTTTATCTGAGTTTCATTTCAACACGTGCCGTGTCGTGACAAGGCTTCTTCAACCGGTCAGGGGCTTCCAGTGAGATAATGCAGTCAACTCCAGGCACGTGGAGAAACTTACATGCTCTGTTTCTTCAGGGAGGAGTATTCTGGCTGTCAGATATCATAACTACCCTGGTTATTTCTGGGCATCCTGGGGAGGGTGAGCATTTTCTGTCTCTCTGCACGAGGGCCGTTGGCGGCCGCCCTGCTGCCAGAAACCAGATGACCAGCTGCCAGTTTTTGAGGGTCAGGGATAGAGCATAGAGGGCAAGGCCAGGGACTGATGTGGGGGGATGCCACTGGTCTGAGAGGGAACATGACTCTAGTTAAACATATCATTTCTTCTCATCTCTTACTGCAATTATAGGGAAGTAGTTGTATTTACAGTTTGTGTTTCATGAAAACAGCTCTTTCACGTGGGCCGGAATCGTTTTTATGTTGCCAGACCTTGGCCTCACTCGATGGCCTTCCCCAGAGTATCATTTTAGCAACAAACACTGATGAATATGGTAAATCTGTAGAAACCCTTATAGATTCCTTTGAGTTTCTATAGGTAGAATATATATTTTAAAGCCCACTGTATTGTAATTACCAATATGCTGCGTCTCCTTTGGTTTTCTTTTCTTACAAAAATGTAAGGAATGGGGACACTTACCAGAAGGTTCTATGTGTCCTGCATGCAGGGACAATGCTTTTCATCGTCAGTACAGCCGGGGGAAAGGTACAGAGAAACTTGAGTGTTTGCTAGTCTTTGTTCATAGGATGGCAGTATTTCAACCATAGGATCATCTGGAAGTTTTATCACCACACAAGGTGATGAACATCTCATTATTCAAAGCTCCATTGTTTTATACCTTCCTAGAGGCAGAAACTGTACCAACTTTCAGTATCCATCAAAGCAGATTACACGCAAATGCACTGGGTTTCAAAGTACTCGAGCACCTTTTTTCTCCCATCGTATCAATATCTCTTAGGATCTGGATTTGGGGACTGACTGGGGTTGGCTTGGAAAAGCGAGCAGGGAATCTCAAGATTTGTCTGGAAAGTGGGAAGAAGGTAAATCAGTGGGAGCCAAAAAAGGTCCCTCGGAATTGCTTGTTTTGTTTGTTTTCCAAACTAGTTCCATAGTACGGACGTACCCAAGTTTCTCCAAACGGGAGCTATAAACACCAAAAGATTGTGGCCACGGGCCAGGGGCCCCATTCCCGGCTCCCCTCTTCCTTCTGCTGTTTCTCATTCTTGGAGCAATCCTCTCTCTTTGAGAGCCTCTGCGTGCCCACGGGCCCAGCCCAGACCTCTTCTCTACGGCTGTCATTGAAGGAGGTTACTTGAGTACACGCTGATGGGAGCTCGGGGCAGCTGGCTAGCAGTCCAGAATGCCTGTCGCGTACAGAAGCCCCAAGCCATTCAATCAAATACACAGGAACGTTTTGGGGCCACCCTGAACTTCTAGGATCTGCCTTCTTACATAAGGGTACTCTTCAGTGATTTCAAAACCAACGAAGGCAGAGGGAACCTGAAGAGACCAACCGGGCATTGGGAGCAGACCTGGTTTGCCACTCTTTGTAAGTTAATTTTAGCATTCCTTACTCCCTGTTGTTAAAAACAAGACAACCGGCCCCAAATAGAGTCGCTTATGCGAAGTCCCACATCAACACACCGAGACTTCACTTCATGACTGTTCCAGCTCTTGGAGAAATGGAATCTTAAACTAGACTGTCAGGAATCACCTCATCAGCATTAGCTAAGTAATCTGCCAGGTCGATCCCTGCCATGCCCTAAAGGAGACTAACCTTGGAATAAGCAATTTACTTTTGGTCTGGTCTAATGTCCTTGTTCTACCCCCTTCTGCCTAGAATAGTCTTTCATTTTGTACAGCTCCTTCCTGTCTGCTGGGTGCATGAGTATCTGAATAAAGCCAATAAGGTCTTTAACTTGTCCTCCGTTGAGTTTTGTTTTTTTAATACCATATATGTGTGGTTTTAAAAAATTCTCCTTTGAGCTAGTTAAAAGGTCATCCTGGTTCCCCCATTAATGAATTTGATAAAACCTTTGATGTGTTTTCATTTTCTATTTGCAGGAGAGGCATGATTTTTACCTTTTAAAATATATCTTTCTACATTAGGTACATAATATGCTAAGTACTCTTCTAGATGTGGATGGGGAGCAAGAATTTTCCATCCCCTCAAGGGTTTTTCTAGCTGGACTAAGAATCAGATTGACTTGAGGCAGATTAACAGGGGAAAATCACATTTAATGGTGCACACACGAGGAATCCACAAAGACACGGAAATTCCAAAGATAGGCAAAATGACATGTACGTGTCATTCTGAACTAAGGAGAAGGGGGTAGAGGTCTGGGACTTCAAAGGGAAGGAATGCACTTCACAGGAAGATGAAAAAGGGTCAATGTTGGGTCAACAAGTGTTTGCTAGGCCATTCAGAAACAACGGGACATAGAGGACTCTGACCAAACAGGCCTTGTTAAGTTCTTCCCTATCTACCACACCCAGTTCCTATCCTACTGCGCTTATCTATAGTGATACCTCGCTTCCTGATGCAGGTTCTCTATCTAAATTATTTTTAGGCAGTTGGGAGCGGGGAGGTAAAGAGCTTTTCCTGAATCTGCTGGACTTGACGCCTTTTTAATTCAAAATCATCTTCACGCCAAAGTGGCCCATTGTGGGGTGGCACCTTACATGAAGCCCCTTTGTGTGTTTATTTAACAAACCCAGAACACAGGTCTGGGTGCTACTCATGCTGTTTTAAGTGCTTGATAAACGTGAACTAACTTAATTCTCCTAACAGTGCTACAGCACTTAGGAGTCCCTTCAGCCCCTCTTAGCCCCTGTTATCAGACTGACGCTCAGCATCCTGGGCGAGGGTGCGTGGGCACTAAGAGCCAGGGGAGGGAGCCCAAGCGCAGGCCTGGGTAAGGCTGAGGCACCCAGGCCCTTCTCCTGGCTCTGGGGCTCCCTCTAAGTGAGCTGGGGGGTGAGATGAGAAACGGGCCCCAACTTTGTTTTGTGGGAAGCTGCATCTTGAAGGAGCAAAAAAGTTGTGTTGACGGGGGGCGGGGGGGCTACGATAAATGGGTTCAGTAGAGAAGTCCCCAGCCAGTGGGGGGACCCACACTGGGCCTGGTGGTGTGGGGCAGTGCTCTAACTGGCATGATGACCATTGTGCTGTGTTTCTTATAAAAGTCAACTTAGGGGAACCTGGGTGGCTCAGTCGGTTAAGCATCTGCCTTTGGCTCAGGTCATGATCCCAGGGTCCTGGGATCGAGCCCCACGTCTGGCTCCCCACTAGGCTTGGAGTCTGCTTCTCCCTCCCTCTCTGTCCCTCCCTGCCCCTTGCTCATGCATGCTTTCTCTCTCTCTCAAATAAATAAATAAAATCTTTTTTAAAAAGTCAACTTAACTATCACTCCACATCTTCTCCTGAGGGCCCTCTTCTTACTCAGAAAATATGCTTTAGTTTATTATTTTTTTTTTAAATGTATGGTCACCAGGCCCACAGGAGAGTCAAGGTGACAGTGGGAGGCAGCAGGATGGGGGGTGGGGGTGGTAAGGGAGGGCACAATTGGAATCTGCTGGACTTGTGTTCAAATCCAAGTTTGACCATTTACTGGAGAATAAAGTTCAAATCCCTTTAAATGAGCATTAAACCTCAGTGGGATTAAGTAAATGCTTCCGTCTCTTTTCCCACCAGAAGTGAGCAAGGGCTCAGCTAGCATTTGCAGTTGGGGAAGAGACTCAAGGGTCCTGAGGTTGGAAGAGGGGGAGGGGAAGTTGGTTCGGAATTGGTTGAGAAGAAGGTCTCCCCGCAGGTGCTGCTGGGGGAGGGCTAATCCGGAAGGCTGAGCTGCAGCCGCAGTGTTGGGGGGGTGGGGGTGGGGGTGGGGAGGACAGAGCCTTCCAGCAAGCTCGGGAGGCAGCTCCCAGCCAGATAAAGATCTGTGACTGGCAGCTCCAAATTGACCTGCTGTCCCAATTCCTGTTCCAGGGCAAAGATCACCCAGCCCTTAAACTTGTCCTTTTTTTTTTTTTTTTTTCTCCTTCTCCGGCTTTATTTACCTTATAAGGAAGGTCAACAATACAAAGTCGAAAGTGCCTGCTACCGGCCCCTGGATTTCGACAAATAGTTTCTTGGACCAGAACATTCCATGTGAAGATGGCTGGGCATTCAATCCTGCTGGCTGCTGTTTCAGTCCTGTCGGCCTGTCAACAAAGTAAGAGTCTCAGGCAGTGTGTGTGTGTGTGTGTGTGTGTGTGTGTGTGTACATGCGCGCGCACACCCCAGGGGGAAGAAGGTCTGGTTTTTGAGTTTCATGCTTCCCCTGGTGGCCGTGGGGGCCACACAAGGCGTAACGTACCCTGGGTTGTCCGCGCCTCCTTCCCCAGAGAGAGATTTTGGCACATTCCAGGGAGCAGTTCTCGCAAAGGGGCTGAGGTAGGCTCTCTGAGCCTGGCGATTCTGCCACGTTTGTGGTTACCACCCACGGCCCAGTTCAGATGACCCTTAGAAATGCACCAGCTAACCTGATGGAAGGGGGCTATCCATACTAATTCGGATGATTCCAGAGGAAACATTGTACCTGCTTTAGACCCCGGCTGTGATTTTTTGAAGCCTCATTTTTTATTAATGTTTCTTAAATAAACTGCCTATGGCAGGTATGATTATCCGGTTTAAAAAAATCTGCAGAAATATGAGCTTCAGGTTAGGTGATGAATTCGAAATCTTAAAGCACCTTCCCAGTAGACTTACTGGGCATCTCGACTGGCTGGTTATGTAAAGAGCATTTGCTCCATGGAGAGTCAATTATCATCTTATCTATGATGTCAGCTTAACATGCTAAATGGGGAAAAGGGTCTGGACACTGGGGAGCAAGACTGGGAACCAACCATGCATATTTCTTTATTTTTCTGAGTGTGCTGCTCCAGGAAGGGGAGGCAGAGCTGGAGACGGCTCAGGGTGCACAGACGGCCAGAGCATGAAGGGACCACAGCTTTGGATAAAGTACTGGCCTATATGCATGTTCAGGGTCTTGCCTAACCAGTGTGTTTTGTGTATTTATGAAAATATGATACTATGACACACATTGTGTGGTTTGATTCACATTCTAGAGTAGAGTAGGGTGTTTATCACCATCTAAAGGGGCCCTTGGGTCATGGAGGTCCCACTGGTTCCCACACACCTCCCCAGAAGCACACCAGCCCTGTGTGTTTCCTCCTCCTGGTGCTGCAGAGAGCACAGGACTGGGTCCGCAGATACCCCAAAGCATCTGTCAGCCTCACAGAGAGGCTTCTGTGTGCTGGTGGGTGCAGGGGACAGTGGGGAACTGTGGCCAGAGGTCAGGTGGGGGTGGCAGGGATTGGGTGGAGAGGAGAGGAAACTGGGCCCCTGGTGGTTGGTGGTACTTGAAGACAAAATTCAACTGAAAGTTGTAAAGATCTTATTGGCTTTATTCAACGAGTCATGAATTAGGCAGCATCCCATCCAGCAGATAGAGAGGAGCTCTGGAGCGCTGTACGATATGAAAGACAGAGGGCAGAAGGGGGCACAAAAGGAAGTTGCTAGCAAACGGGGATTGTTAGTGGCAAAGGTCACCTTTTTTAGATAGCATTTATCTATCAGGCCCATTGCCTCAATAGTGCTAACCTGGTAATTCCAAATTGACTTGTGTAAGATTCCACTTCCGGGAGAGATTGAAACCGTAACTAAGTGAGGTATTAAGTCTCGGTTCCGTGATGTCAGCTTAGTGCTAATGCCTCCATTTTGAACGTGTTGTCTCTTTTTTAACAGTGGTAGATGGGGAACGTTTACTGATTGGGTGGGGGAGAGAGAGGGAGAGAGAAAGAAAGAGAAGACACACTGTTTAGTTGACATGAAGGACCATAATTTGCTGCTTCTGCAGAAGTCTGGTGTTTATGGAGAAGGGACACCATGAATCATGGTGGAAACAGATCTGGTTTTGAAGACAGACAGTCCCCTATCTGTCCGGCTCAGCCACTTACCAGCTGGGTACCCCTGGCCAGGATATTCTGTCCTTTAATGTCCTCTTCAAAGAGGGTTAAGCAGGATGCTGGGTGAGAAGTGCCTACCAGGGGGCCTGGCCTGGCGTTGGGGCATAGCATGGTCCGTCCCCATCCTCTGCTGCTCGCCCTCAGAAAGAAGCTTTGGCTGGACTGAGGGGCAGCTACATGCAAGAAGCTGAGCTATGGCTGGGGCTGGGGTGGGGCTGGGGGTGGTGGTCTTGATTCTCACCCCCCCTCGCTCCCCAGCATACATGCATCCCTCCGGTGAAAGTGAAGAAAAGAGAAAAAGACAGGCATAGCAAAAGGAGAGTATCACCAAGTAGTTTTTAGGTGACTGTAAGGGAGGGAAATAAAATGGCTGCCAGCCTTTCCACACTCATCATGTGATCGCAGCGGTAGCCATGGCCTCCCTAAGGCCCCTGACCTGGAAGAGCAGAAAGGGGCTTCTCCTCCTCAGGGAGATGCTGGCCCAACTGAATCCTTCCTCCCGGTGCTGTGGGTGGGCTGGGTGGGGAACATTTAAACACCCCTGCCATTGCCAGAAACTCCTCGTGTTTGTCCTGCAACAGACAGGCGTGACCAGGTGCTATGGAGAGCCAAGAGGAAGATGGTACTTTCAAAGTTTTCACACATGGCTTTATTTCGAAGCTCTAGGTTCTTGCCCCATTGCCCAGTGTAAATCAAGGAGCACACGTCTTTCACTGTTTCCATCTTACAGATGGAAGCAAGAAGACTTACCAAGTGTTTTCTCCAAGGCCGTGGAGCCATGGTGGCAGCACGGTACAGAATGGCTGCCATATTTCCCCTCTGCAGACACATCTCCTTTTTGGCACCAGCCAGGCACATGACTTAATGGCCTCTCCAGATTCAGGCTGCCTTGCGAGGATTTAGCCAGGGCTGGAAACAGCCTGTGCCCAGTCCTGCATTTCCCAAAGCTTCACCCTGCTCTGTCTGGCTTCAGGGATGCCACAGCATTTTGAATGAGAGACTCTAGCAGAGCATTTATGCACTTTTGATGTTCAGTTGCAGCGTTTAAATCCTGAGCCATGGTTTATTTGTAGAGGAGAGGAAGTCGTGGGGGAGGGAAGAGGCCTGCTGTGCGAGCCCTTACTGAACCAGGCTCACTATTTACTGACTTGTCAGAACGGAGATAGGATCAGGTCTCAGGAGGAAATGCATCACGCCAGAGACTGTCACACAAGCTATAATCGTGGTGCGCAAAAGGAAACTAGATTTGAAACACGAGCAAGTGGGAAATGGATGTGGAGGTACTAAAGTAAGCGAGACCAGGATCGCCTGGAGAGAACTGGTAGGGAACCGAAACCGGAAGAAATAACCTGAAGGGAAATCCTTGAGCCCAGAGTTAATTATGGGGCAAAACTAGGATGATAAGGAAGGGAGGTGAGAACAACTGACCAAGGAGGAAGTGTGGTCTGGAAGCCAGTGAGCTTCATAGGGCTGGTCGTCAGATGCAAGCAACTCTGGCATTGGGCCTGGATGATCTAATGCAAATGTGGCCAAGGAAGAACAAAGTCATGAGCATCTGATCTGATAGTAGGGAAACTGAGTCAGACAAGGAGGCATTGTTCCCAAAAGTTTTCTTGTGACCTTCCCTCCTGGCTCTTGCCCTCTCTAGGTAGCCATGGATCTGCTTTATGTCACTATGGATTCATTTGCATTTTTGAGAAGTGTATATAAGTGAAACTCTACAGTATTGTTCTCTTCTGATTTTGCTACTCTCATTCAGCATAGTATGTTTGAGGTTCATCCCTGTTGTTTCATGTGTCAATCCTTCATTCTCTTTTACTGTCTAATAGTATTCTATTATATGGATATACCACATACACCACAATTTGTTTATCCATTAGCTTGTTGACCAACATTTGTGTTAGGGTTCTGCAGAGAAGCAGAACTATACAACATGCACACACATTTATTTAAAAAAACATTGATTCACACCATTGTGGGGGCTGGCAACTCTGAAATTTGCAGGGTGTGTTCGAAGGCTGGAAATTCTAGCAAGAATTGGTGTTGCCGTGTGGAGCCTCAAGGCAGCGGGTAGGCAGAATTCCTTTCTTTTTGGGGGACTTCAGTCTTTTCTCTGCGGGCCTTCAACTGATTGGATGAGGCCCACTCACATAAGGAGGGTAATCTGCTTTACTCAGATTTACTCTACTGATATAAATGTTACTCACACCCAAAAAATATTTTCACAGAAATGTCTAACTGGTGTTTGACCAAACAACGGGTCACCATGGCTTAGCATAGTTGAGATAATAAAATTAACAATTAACAATTGCAGAGTTGTTCCTAATTTTTGGCTATTATGAATGAAGCTGCTATGAACATTTGTGTACAAGTTTTTGTATGGACATATGATTTAATTTTTCTTGGGGAAATAACTACGAGTGGAGTGACTGGCTATATGGTCTATGTATGTCTAACTAAAATATCCCATTTGGTTTTCCAAAGTGATTGTACCATTTTACATTCCCACCAGAGTGTTTGAGAATTCTGGCTGCTCTCCTAGGCTTACTGCTCTCTTTTTAAATTTATATAATTTGTCTTTTTAATTTTAAATCTTTTAATAGGTATGTGATGGTATCTAATTGTGGTTTAAATTTGTGTGTTTCCTAATCAATAGTGATGTGCTACATTTTAATTGTTAATCCCTCTCTATCCTTGCAGTTTATTTTGCTTTGCATGTGGGAAAGGCAAGATTAAAATACAAAGTTACACCTCCGGCAGTCTCTGGGTCACCAGAGTTTGAAAGAATATTTCGTGCACAGTAAGTAATGCTTCCCCCACCCTTCTGGGATCTGGGCCTACCACATACAGAGACTTCTGATCAGGGCAAAGAGGTGCAGAGAAGATACCCCATTGTAACAAACCATACTTGACAGCCAAACCCCTCCTCATGATTCTTGAAGCTTGAAGCATCCAGCACATGGAGTCTCTACTGACCTACATTTCGAATTTAGAGGGTGCATTTATAGAAAAGGCTGGGATCTTAAGAAAGACTTCTCTATATCTCTAAGCATGGCAGTTTGGTTCAAGAGCCCCTTGAGTACTCTGAGAGTTCGATAGCCTCCAGCTGGATTAGCTATGACATCAATTTCCTATCTTTGTTTTACCTTTCCACGTGAAACAGAGACAAACCATTTCCTGAAATCCCAAGCCTGTAAGAGTGAGAAAACTTTCCATTTCACACATACTTGTCGTGATTTTGATCATCTTATCTTTTCAGATGCACACAGAATGTTCCACCATGAACACCATGAGTTTGGCTGCTACAGATGCTAGGGCTCCCTTTAGATCTCATCCCCCAAATAAGTGCTTTTAGAAACATTGCATGTGTCACCATTTATGTGTCACTCGGCTCTTTTGTTAATACTTTGGGATTTTTAATCTATGTCATGAGTGACGTGGGCCTATAATTTTCCTTTATTTATATGATCTTCATCTCACTTTGATATCAGGATTATACTAGTCTCATGGAATGAGTTAGAGAATTATTTTCTCAGAAAATTTTAGTAAGATTGGGAGAGTGTGCTCCTTCAAAGTTGTTAGAATTGCCTGTAAAATGATCTGAACTGATGCTTTCCTTGTGGGAAAAAATCTCAACTATGGAATTTGATTTCTTTAATGATGATTGGGTTATTTGGCTTTTTATTCCATCTTAAATCACTTTGGGCAAGTCATGATCCTTGAGCTGACAACATTGTTCTCTTGTCCATCTCTTTACTTCAAAGGCAAGAATTGCACAGACTGGGTGCCTGGGTGACTCAGTTGGTTAAGCAACTGCCTTCGGCTCAGGTCATGATCCTGGAGTCCTGGGATTGAGTCCCGCATTGGGCTCTCAGCTCCACGGGGAGTCTGCTTCTCCCTCTGACCTTCTGCTCTCTCATGCTCTCTCTCACAGTCTCTCTTTCAAATAAAAAAATAAAATCTTTAAAGAAAAAAAAAAAGAATTGCACAGATTATTCCCCAGGCTTAAAATTATGGGATGTTAATAGAAGAGATAATTTTAAGAGGTGCATAAACATGTTTTTTTTTCAACAAAATTTTCTTGTGGTAAGAACATGTAACGTGAGATATACCCTCTTAAAAAATTTAAATGTATAAAATATTATTGTTTGTAGAAGTACAGTGTTGTACAGCAGATCTCCAGAGCTTGATCTCTTACTTGACTGAAACTTTATGCCCAAGATATGATTTTCAGTAACATTGAATGATATGGTGAGAGACTCATTTCCCTTTCGGTTGTCTTTGAATCTTTATGATTATGTCAAGTGGAAAGCATTGGTTTGGTGCCGATACGTCCCACACTCCAATATTTATTTTTTATTAGAGTAATACATGTATGTGGTCTGAAAATAAAGTGACATTACAAGTTTGAAAGCAACAAATAACTCTCCTTACTGCCAATCCAACCCCAGAGACAACCATTGGCACCCTTCTGACTACTACTTTTGGTATTTACTTCCATATTTCTAAACATTATGCTTTCACTGCTATTTATTGATTAATAAATTTTAGACATTATCCATTAGCTTCCTTTTATGGAAGAAAGAATTTCATGTCTTTCCACTTCCTCTTTTCCTTACCTCCCCCTTCCAGTACAGTTACATCACTTTGTTGAGTTAAACCAACAGCCAATGTTTATATTATTATAATTAACTAAGTAATGTTCAAACTTCAGTCAAATAGTATATAATGATTTCAGCTCTTTCTTGTGAAATTTTTCATTTTATCTGGGGTTCATGATTGCCTCTTTATTTGTTTGTTTAGTTTCATCCTCAAATCTTTAAGAGAACTGAAAATCTTCTCTTAGTACATTCAAATACATTATACTAGTAATACCATTTTTTCCCCCCTTGGATCATTTCTGCTTGAGTCCTCCATCTTTCTGCGTCAATCTGGAGGATGCTTTTTAAACCTGCTACACGTTGTCATTGTGGGACTTTTTGTCATCATTCCAGGAATTCTCCTTATCTTCTCCTGATTTGGATTGCCTGCTTTCCTGGATCTCCTATTTCCTGTTTATTGATTTTCTCTCATTTTGGTGGAGCATACCCTGCCGAATTTTGCTGAGAGAGGGTGAATAGTTGGTCAGATTTTGAACTTTACGTTTCAAAATATGCTTTTACTCTGCCTCACAGCTGATTGATGGGTTGGTTGGACATGTATTTCTATGTTAAAAATCCTTACTCTCCGAATTTTGAAAATATTCCTCTATTATTTTCTAGTTTCCACTGGTATTGTCATGATGTTCTGTGCCATCCTAATTCCTGGTTCTTTGTTTGGAAACTGTGGAGGCTTTAGAATCTTCCTCTCATCCCAATGTCCTAAGATGTTATGGTACTGTGCTGACTGAGAGGCATTTGTCTTTACTATGCTGACCCCTACATAGAGCTTTTTTACAAACTGAAAACTCATGTCTTCCTGTTCTAGAATTTTTAAAAAATATATTTTCCCCTGAATTTCCTCTTCTTCATTTTCTCTGTTCCTTTATTCTTAAAACCTCCATGAGTTGTATGTTGAGCTCTGGGTGGGTCACCTAGTTTTCTTTTATCTTTGGTTTTTCATCTTCTTGGACTTTTGCTCTTTCTGGGAAATTTCTGGAACTTCTGTTTACTAACCTTTAAAAAAATTCAGATATCAATTTTAATTTCTAAGAATTAATTTTTATTCTTCGATTCTTCTTTAGCTATTACTGCTGCTATTAAATCATCCCTTTTTGTTTTACGGATACAGTTTAATTTCTTATATCTGAGGATTTTTATTATAATATTTTTTGAACTTCTTGTATCATCTCTGTTTTTTCCAAGCTCCTTCTTATTTGTCAATTTTAGCCTCTTTCATTTTTATGTATTATTTGCCCATTAAATATCTGTTGACCACCTCTATATACTTGGCACTGTTCCAGTAGCTTATGATATACCAGTGAAAAAATTAGACAAAGATCCTTGCCCTCATGAAGTTCACCTTATAGTCAAAGAAGATGGAAAGTAAACAGGTAATAGTATAAGAAAATACTGTATTAAGCAAGAGGTGGTAAGTGTTACGAAATAAAGGAAAAAGGAGTGCACTGTAAGAGAGCATAGGGATGGGCTGCTGGGGGGCGAGTTCAGGCGGGTTCCTATTTAGGTTGTTCCGTGTGGACCCCACCGAGAAGGTGACTCAAGCAAAAGCTTGAAGCGGGTAAGGGTTAGCCATGTGAACATGCAGGGAAAAGCCTCTTGAGGCAGAGGGAGTAACTACTGCAAAAACCCTAAGTGGGAATGTGCCTGGTGGTGGGTGAGCAAGGAAGTCTGTGGCTGAGAGAAGGAGCTGACAAAGTGGTAGGAGGTAAAGTTAGAAAGCTAATAGATGGATCATGTTGGGCCTTAAAAGCCTTTGTGAGGCCTTTGGCTTTTCTTTGAGGGAAATGGAAAGTCATTATAAGGTTTTGAGTGGAGGAGTAACACCATCCTATATTTTCTTTCTTTTTTTTTTTTTTAAAGATTTTATTTATTTATTTGACAGACAGAGATCACAAGTAGGCAGAGAGGCAGGCAGAGAGAGAGGAGGAAGCAGGCTCCCTGCTGAGCAGAGAGCCCGACGCGGGGCTCGATCCTGGACTCTGGGATCATGACCTGAGCCGAAGGCAGAGGCTTTAACCCACTGAGCCACCCAGGCACCCCCCTATATTTTCAAAGGATCACTTGATCTGCTTTGCTGAGAACAGTCTATATGGAGGCATTGGTAGAAGGAGGAAATTCGGTTAGGAGGCTACCCTGAACCAGGGACGTAGCAGTAGAGATGGTGAGAAATGGTCAGATTCTGGATATGTTTTGAGGATAGAGCCAAGAGAATTTCCTGACGTAATAAATATGGAGTGTGAGAAGCGTCCAGAACGACCTCAGATATTTGGCCTGAGTGTCCTGAGAGACAACCGAGAGAGAAGGCAGCAGGAGGACCAGCTTCGGGGGGAAGACCGGGCGATTCCGATTGACAGGTTGTGTCCGAGTGTGACTTACGCTACAGCTAAGGAGGGGCTGTCAGCGTTGTCTTTCACTACGCTACTTGGATCCTTTCTTGTTGCACTGGAAACAGCCTGGTACGGTACACAACTGGGTAGAGAGACAGCAGGCAGGTGGATATACGAATCTGCATTTTGGCAGAGGGATCTGAGCTGGAAATACAAATTCACTGGCGCACGAAGATGATTTAGAACCACCACACTGGAAGAATTTTTTTTTTTTTTTAAAGAACTCTAAGGAAGTGGGTGTAGGTAAAGGAGAGAAGAGGAGCAAGGACTGAACCAGCCTTAGAAATCAAGAAGACAAGGGTCCAGCAAAGAGATCTAAGCGAAGGAGATCTTAGAAGCTTTACTCTAAAGTCAAGTGGTTCTTGATGGGCTGTCTGTGCCCATTTAATAAAGAGTGTCAGAAAAAGAGCTGGGAGCTCCGTGGGCATGGGTGGGGCTTACTGAGTTAGGCAGCTTCGCCAGAGGGTGATTGGTCATCAGCAGCTTTCTTTGGGAGAGCTCCAAACGTCAGTATCTGTAGGTTCTCTTTCTGGGACCATTTGGTTTCTCTCGAGAAAACTCTTAAGCCCCCTGTGGGGGCAGACAAGTGTGGGGTGAGGGAGGAGGATGAGTACAATAGGTCTTACTTCCAAAAACCTGAAAGTGTGCTGGGTGAAGGAAGGAAGGTTCTTCTACACAGTATGCAGGTGCACATGGTTCCTAGCACAGAATTTTGTTCTGGAACCCCCTGCGATTCTCTGGTTGGGGTTCTCTAG